AGGGATGCACTGCGGGAGACTGCAGGGCTGGGGGCAGGGGGCAGTCAGGGGCTTGTTTTTAAATCTCTGAGCACCAGCAGGAGGTGGGGAGGAGGGAAAGGAAGGAGAGAAGAGAGGAAGGGCGGTCACACAAGCTCCTGGCCCACTTAATGGCCTCCCGTTCCCACAGCTCAGGCCCATCAGCCCCAAGTTTCAGCTCACATCCCACAGGAAAGGGTGGGAACTGGCGCCTCCTGGCTGGCTAGACTGTTGGCCCAGGACAACAGGGGGAGCAGCTTCAAAGGCCATTGCAGACCAGAGAGTCGCCCTGTCCTATCCCACAGGGACCAGCTGGGTCCTGGCAAAGAAGACTGCCACTGGGCACGGCAGGATAGGATGAGGGACATGTAGCTAAGAGGAACATGAAAGGAGAAACCAGAAAAGGATTTCACCCCTGTGATATGCATGGACTGGCCCAGCCACCCACGTGGACCCTCTGTCTCTCTGTGTCTGCTCCTCTCTCTTTCTCTCTTCTCCCTCTTTCTCACACATGCATGCACACATGCACACATGTCCATGTGCACACGCGTGTAGCCGCATCCCTCAGCTGCCGCTTGCTAAGGATCCCCTTAGCAGGCAGCCACCTTTCTCCTGGGTTGGGGAGTGGTGATACTGAACCCCCACCCCTTGTGCCCCTGCACCTGCCTCCTGGGCACTCCATCTACTCCAGCCTCCTGCCTGTGTCTGCCATGCTTTGTTCTCTAGTTGTTTCCTTGCCACCTACCCATCTCCTCAGCTACAAGGAAGTTTCAGACAAATCACATTTCTTCTTCAGAACCTCCACGCCATCCCACTCTCAGACTTTCCAGAGAGAGATGCAGGGCCCTCAAGGGCTGCTGATCCAATGACCCCCACACACACAGTTGTTACCCACTTGGCAAACGCTCCGAGTCCCTCCCACATTGCACTGCTCGAGGGGCCTCTGTTCAATCACATTCATCCTCACAAACACTTGATGGGATAAACAGCAACACCAGCAGGATAGGAAACCGTGACTCAGAAAGGTTAAGTAGGGTGGGTGCCTACTTAATCCCAGCACCTTGGGAGGCTGAGGTGGGCAGATCACTTGAGGTCAGGAGTTTGAGACCAGCCTGTCCAGCATGGCAAAACCCCATCTCTACCAAAAATACAAAAATTAGCTGGGCGTGGTAGCACACGCCTGTAGTCCCAGCTACTTGGGAGGCTGAGGCAAGAGAATGGCTTGAACTCAGGAGGCGGAGGTTACAGTGAGCTGAGATCAAGCCACTGCACTCCAGCCTGGGCAACAGAGCGAGACTCCACCTCAAAAAAAAAAAAAAAAAAAGCAAAGGAAAAGAAAGGTTAAGCAGCTTGTCAGAGGTCACACTGCAAGAACACAGTGAAGTGGGAATTCAAGCCCAGGTCTCTCAGGTATGTGACCACCACCAGCTCCAGCAAAGGAGAGGAAACCTGGGGCCCATAGGAAAGGTCTCCCCATGTAGATGGCTTGCTGTCCCCTGCACTCCCAGCCCTGCCCCCCCAATTCCATGTCACCCTCAGCAAATCCTACAGAGGTTCCCCCAGAGAGGTCTGCATGCTCCTCAGCCCTCCCAGACCCCACCCACAGATACTTTTTGTTCTAAATAGCCAAGACATTCATGCCCAGGAGGCTCAGAGGGTGACAAATCTGAATCTCACTGAAACGGTTAGTCCACCTGAGGGCCTGGGTCGGAGGGGGCGGAAGGGGAAGCTATATGAAGTTGGTCAGACAGAAATGTGATTCCAGGGATCAGAGATCTGGCACCAGATCATAGTGAGGTGAGGGTGGTAAGGATTGGGGGAGGAGTGGGGCTCAGCCATAGATGGCTCCTAGGACAGGAAAGGGGCCTGAGGGCGAAAGAGGGGCTTAGAGACTGAAACTCCACTTGCCCCAGGTACCCTCTGACCCACCCCAGTGAACCTGCTCGTGTCCCCTGCAGGGAAGATCAGCTAAGTTTTCACGGATGCTAGGTCAGCCTATGTGGTCAATGAGGTCCCTCCCCAGGGAAGATAAGGCCTAAGACTCTATCTGATTGGCCAGTTCATGCCATTGTGGATTTGGGGCCCACAAGCTCTGACTCTTTGAGATGAGTCTGTTTTGCAAGGGCTCCCTCAGCCCCCACGGGCCCAGCACAAAAGCCTACCTAAGGCCAGAGTGGGACTGGAAGACCTGCATCGGTATGCACCACCCAGCTGCGTGACCTTGAGCAAGTCCTGTCCCTCTCTGGGCCTCAAGGCTCTCACAAATAACAGCAGAGGCTGTGTGGGACCTCTCATAGGCTCCCCGACGTCTGCCTGGTGTGCTGATGGCTCTAGCAGCATGGATGTGTGCAGGGCTGGTCTGGTGGGATCGGCCTGCGGGGCTGGGAGGGGGAGAGCCAGGCACCAGTTTCACTGTCCCACGTGCTGGCTGCCCCGGCATTCGGGAGCTCCCTCTCCAGAGCCATGGCAGCCTTAGGATCCAGCCTTTGCTTTTCCATCTCCTCAGGAGAAAAGAATCCACACTCCAGCGTCTTCTGCTAGCTGCCAGCTGCTGAGGGCAGGGAAGGCTCGTTGACTCCAAGTGTGAGAAGAGGCAGGCACAATGAGCACAGCCGGGCACCACACAGTGGGCACATGCAGAGCAGCTTCTGGCTCCTGGTCCCAAACCCAGTCACAGGCCCAGGACTCCCTGCATCTATCCTGAGTTGGCTAATAATGGCTCTTAGGGCCCCAGTACCTAAGCCACCCCTGCCTCAGCCCTCCCTGCCCCAGGCCCAGAGTCCTCAGAGCACTCCGACCCCACCAGTGCCTGGCTCCTGCCCCTGCTCCTTCATCACCTGCTGCCCCAGCCTGGCCCCAGCCACCCCAGCCTCCGTGTGGCTGGTCTGCTGTAAAGAACGATTCCCTGGCTTTGTTTTAAGAGTCGAACCTGCTTCTGAGTACTTTGGAAATGACCACTGTACAAATGAAGTAACCAGGTCTTCCTAAACAGAAGACGACACTGGAGAGAGGAATGGGGGAAGAAACACCTATGAGCACGGACAACTGCATTAAATTCCCAGAAGGCGGCCTGTTTTCTCTCAGGTGCAAACCAAGAGGCATTAGTACTGTGCACACTGAGTGCTTGCTCTGCACCAGGCGCTGTTCTGCGTTGATATGTGTTACTGATTTAATCCTCACAACAGTTCCATCCACTATGATGGAGGCATTCACAAATCCCTATTTTACAGAGGGGGCTGAAAACTTGCCCAAGGTCACACAGTTGGTAGGAGCGGAACTGGGGCACCTGGTCTCCCCACAGTGTGCTGGGTGCCCCTGTGGAGAGTCTGTCTGGAAAGTGCCAGGGGAGCCAGGTAGGGGGTCTTGAGCCCATTACTGAAGGGGCCCTTGGCTAAGCAGGTGGGGGCAGGACGCCAGCCTCCCCTCAGCTCTTGTTTCCTCTAGAACTACTCCCATTCAACCCTCCTTCCCCTCAAGACATTCTTTCCACCCAGAACCACCCAGGACTACCCTTGCAGTTCCCCAACAGAGCCTCAGTTCCCCTGCCTCCACCGCCACCACATCATCTGTCCCAAGTCCGCCCTCTGGAAGACAGCCGGGCTTAGTGGATCACGAATGTGCTCTGGACCCTGATAGACCAGAATTCAAATCTGGCTTTGCCATTTGTCAGCTTTGTGGCAGGTGCTTAACCTCTCAGAGCCTCAGTTTCCCCATCTGTACAACAGGATGGCAGTAATGCCACCTTCCTCAGAGTCAGTGAGGGGGTAAATGGAACTGAAGTATGTGATGTGCCTAGCACCTTGGAGGTGGTCTGTGAGTACTAGCTCGCTGCCTGGGTGACCGCTGACCATCTGGCTGGACAGTGAGGGCCTTAGATGGGAGAGGGCCTCTTAAGGCATCACATGTCCTGTTTGCTGGTTAGAAACAGACTCTCAGGCCCCGCCCAGACCCACTGAGTCAGAATCTGCGTTTTAACAAACTGCCCTGGGAGATGTGTGGGCACATTAAAGAAACTTTGTTGTCTTCTGGGGACTTAGTTCTCTGGTTCCAAGCATGAAAATTGGTGGTGGGTGGGAGGACACAGCAGGGAAGCACAGGCCCCTGGTGGAAGCACAGAGCTATTTTAAAGGACAGGTAGGGCCCTTCTGAGCCCCACAGGGACGCTGAGCAGGCTGATTCTCAGGCTCAAGAGCCAAGGCGGAGGCCAGAATGCAAGGCTGCAGGTGGGCTCTGGCTCACTCAGTGCTGGGGCTCTGGCCCGTGCAGGAGGGGAAAATAATCCAGGTCTATGGGGAAACAGCTTCAGAGCTGAGATGGTTACCAGTGGAAAAGCAGCCCAGACAAACCATATGAGACACTCTCATTCATGCACACGCCACCTCTTATACACAAACCACTGTCCACACATACACACTCACCATCACACACACTGCACCAGGACTTGCCTGTCTGCCCAAAGAGCGGCTCCAGAAGAGAGCAGACAGCCTTTGGGATAGTGTGTGCCTGGGCCTGTGTGCTCCACAGGAGGCCTGGGAGTGGGGAGGCTCCCACAGCAGGTCTAGGAGCCCACTGGCTCCTCTACAGGGCTCTGCCTCTGCCTCCCACTTGCCTAAACCCCAGCTCCTTCTGAGCAATGAGAAACCCAAGTCCTGCTCACCTGAGGTTGGCAAGGACCCAAATTTTAATTGGTCACCTGCCTGCTGACTCCCCCTCTCCCCCAGTACACCAACATCTTCCTCACCAGGTTGCTCGGGGGTAATCAGCAGAGTGGAGCTCTGACCTCAGGGTTCCCTGAGAGGCAGCCGTACCGCAGAGCCTGTGCCCACTCCCATGCACACTCACACGGGACAGCTATAAAGCCCATCCTCTCCCCAACCACACAGCTTCTGAAGGGCCAGGGACGCTCATCCACCCTATCCGTGAAGAGGTGACAGCTCTCAACTCCACACCCATTTTCAGCTCAGAAACACACACCCACTGACCTCTTTCACCACCGCAGGCTGGACCTCTTCCACCATCACAGGGCCCCCCAGGCTCAGATGGGCTCCAAAGAAACCCTAAATCGTGGGGCCAGAACCCCAAGCAGGCCTAGGATGTCCAAAAAAGAACCATCAACTAGGGAGGGTCAGTCTGGCCGCAGCACAGTGTGTGACTTCATGGGTTCTGGAAAGGCCCTCAGCCCCAAAATATCTTCCCTCTGGGTCCGGAAATCCCTCCCAACCCCTCAGATTCACTGCCGGGAGAGGCTCCCACCTGAAGCTCTCGTCAGTTCACACCCCTGGGAGAGGCAGCTGACAGCTGGCCTGAGAGCGGCCAAAGATGGGCAGGGGGAAAGTGGGTGCCAGGCCTGGTGACCGTCATCTCACCAGGGCCTCCCTGCCCACGAGTTCCCACCAGAAGAGGGCGCTCTTTCCTCCCCGACCCCAGAGTGCCGGTCCCCAGAATCCAGCACCTCTGGCCACGGAGAGGGGCCTAGCAAGGAGGGACCTCAGCATGGCCCTCCACATCCATGCCAGGGGAAACCAAGGCCTGCCCCAACTGTCCCCTTGAGTAAGCTAAAGGGCCAGACAGCAGGAGGGTATGCGAGCCCTGAGAGCAGGGAGGTCGGGGGCAGAAGGGGGAATTAACCAGGTTCCAAAATAGCACAGTTGGTTCTGCCTCACTTCACCCTGCTCAGTGTCTGGCAGCTTCTGCTTTCGATCTGAGTCACGCCTGGTGGGGGCAGGACGGGGCAGCCAGTGCTGGCAGAGGCCACTAGACAGCACAGGCAGCGGCCCAGGAACTCAGTGGGGGCTCTTCTCCCCTCATAACACACACCTACACCCACCCCCAACCACCCTTATCCCCTGTCCTGCCCAAGAGTTGGGCTTCTGGGAAGAGCTAACAGGGACACAAAGTCCAGGGGGCTCCCGTGCCTGAATCCTATCCCAGCCCTGGGCCTACCCCAGGATTCCCAAATGCTGTCAGCTGCCCTAGACCCAGAACTCAGCTTTGCCCCTGCCCTGTCATGTGCGCTCCAGCTGGCATCCGCACCCCATCTCTGTCAGGGAGCCAGAGGAGACCTGATCTGGAAGCCACCATCTCCCCCAGCCAGAGGAGAAATGGCCTCCTACGGCAACATTCCAACAGCCCACCAAGCTACCCGACCGCCGGATGGAGTGAGTGAGCTGCCCCCCACCTGCCCACATCTCCCCCCCGCCCACACCCAGGTATGAAAGAAACAGGAAGCAAAATTCACACACACACACTTCCAGCCCTTTTCCTGTCCTTAAACACCAGAAGAAGCACTTTGCCTTTACCAGGACAGAGCGAGGAGTCAGGTGCCTTGAACTCTGCGTGTGGTGGGGTGGGGGGAGGAGCACTGGGAAGTCCGCTCTCCCTTCAGCATTCTCTTCCACTCATTTGGGCTCCATGCCCTCCTGCCTGCCCAGCCCCAAGGCTCAGAGCTGCTCTTCTTTCCCCCATAGTGGTGAGACTCAGGCAGTGGCTGCCTTATACCTTCTCCCTGGACCCAAGATGTTTGAGCTCAAACCTGAGACATAAACCCCACCTTCCAATGCCTGAACCCATCCTCTCTGTTCTCCTCCCAACAACACACCTGCCTGGAGTGAGTGCAGCCACCTTCCTATCCCAGTGGCGGAGTGGGGAGGTGAGAGACTCGGGCTGCCATGGCTGGGCCTGCCCACAGGGTAGGGAATGGCACAGGCAGACACACTCCTGCCCCTGCCACCCTGGCACATGCACCCAGAGCAAACTTGGTTTGGAAATGAAACATCAAGGGGAAAGGCTGGGGCTGGCGGGTAGAGGAAGAAGTCAGAGGGGCTGTGACTTGGCACGCATGCCTGTGGCCCGGGACCACGTCTCCAGCGGGAGAACACCGCCAGGCCCAGCCCCTACCCCATCCCCATCTCCTTCCCTTCCCCTAGCCCCCACCCCAGAAGGTCTTACCTACACGCCACTTCCCTCTTTTAATTCTTCCCATTCCCTCAGCCCTGTAGGGTGTGAGACGTGTAGCCTGAAGCTGGGAGGTCTGGGGATGGGAACAGGTGGAGCCCAGGGGGAGAAGGCTCCTCTCCGGGAAGTAGGCATGACAGAGCCTGTGCCAGGGCAAACAGGTATGCCACTGCACTAAATGAGTCCTCCACCAAAATGTCCCTGAATTGCATTCTGTTCTTGACAGAGACACAGAGGGAGGTTACTAAGAGGCTGAGTTCCCGGCTGACTAAAAGGCAGCCACGTGGCAGCCATGGGGCTAGGGGAAGAGGCAGGGGCAGTGAGAGAAAGGAAAAGGAAGTCCGAAAAACCACTACAATCACAGTCTCAGGATGCTAGAGTTGGGAGGGAAGTGGAAGATGGCTCTAGGCTCTGTGGCGCCCAGCACGTCTGTACCTCCCTCTAGGAGAGGATGCCATGACACGGGGGCGTTGCTGGCCTTGCACAAGGCCTGGGAAGGGCGAGCCAGTGTCTGGCACATGGCAGGCGTCTCAGTCACCCAGGTCACTTTCCTCTGCTGTGAGCACCTGGAGGCATCCTGACAGCTTCCTCTTTTTGTCCATGGCACCTTGTAGATGCTCCTTAAGTATCTGTGAAACACAGTGAGCGTGGAACCGGCAACTGGGGAAGAGTATGCCTGGGGAAGCCTCTTGGATATAAAAAGGGAGATGTGGGAAGGGGGCTTGGCAGACCCCTAGGACTGGGCTTGGTGAGGTGGCAAAAGCTATCAGGGCTTAGCCACATGCTCTGGGCCCTCACGATGTCAAAAGTGCCCACCTTAGGACTTCCGGGTGCCAGCACCTGAATTGGTGCCTGAGCCAATGAAGTTAGCACCCTCCCTTCCCCACCACCCCTTAGTCAAAGACCCCTATCACTTGACTGGGGAACTCTAAAGCATATTCTGCAGAGGCCTCCAATGGCAGTGAGCCTCAGGTGCCCAGTCACCTTGCTCCTTCGCACACATTTTATCAGCTTCCTTCCCTTCCTGTCTCACGAATCCTACTCTACCACTGGTGCTACCTGGGGGAGCCTCCCAAATAAACTGCGCTCACATCCTTGCCTCAGCCAATGGGCCCCGAGGAGGCAGTTATGACCTGGCATTGAACAGCTAGCTCTGAAACTTAGAAATAAGGGCCAATAAAAGGGTCAGAGTAATCCAAGCTGGCCCACCCTGCAGGGAAGGAGAGAGGCAGGCATGTAAGACTCAGTCACTGGGGAGACTGGTCAAGCTGGATGCAATGGTCAAATGTGTACTTGGAACTTCCCCACTTGGCAGAAGGTAAGACCCGGTCCTCAAAGGGAGAGCTGGGAAGGTGGAGAGAAGAAAACAGGACTTGCCAGAGTTGCAAGTTGCATGGAGAAGAAACCTCCATACCGGGGGTAGTGATGGCAACATTAGGTTGCTGGTAGCAAATGCCAACAGGACTAGAAGCCCAGCATTGCCTTCTGCCCCTAGGCTGCTCCTAGGATAGAGTTATAGAGATCCAGCATTCCAGAACCTTGGCATGCCCGTTCATTCGATAACACAGCTGTTATGTTCCACACTTAGAACTAGGCACTGGTGACACCAAGAGAGGCCATTTGATTAAACGCTAAGAGAGTGTGCTTTGAACCTAGTTGAGCTGAATCCCAGATCTGTCACTTTCTAGCTGTGTGACCTTCATCAACTTACTTAACTTCCCAGGGTCTCGGTATCCTCATGTGTAAAATGAGGACAATATCCATCCTGGAGAATTTCTGTAAGGATTAAACGTAAAGTATCTAATGTAGTACCTGGCACAGGATAGGTGCTCAATAAATATTTGATGGATGCACGTATGTAATGGATGGATGAATATAATGGATGCACGCATAAATGGATGGGTGGACGCATGAAAAGATAGATATAATGGTGGGTGGATGGATGGATGGATGGATGGATGGATGGATGGATGGATATAATGGATGCATGCATAAATGGATGGGTGGACAGATGAAAAGGTGGATATAATAATGGGTAGATGAATGGATGGATGGATATAATGAATAAAAAGGTGGATATAATGGATAGATGTATGCATGGATGGATGGATGTTTAAAAGGAGATGAAAAAGGCACTAGTTGTCTGCATTGTTCTCATCTGGTTCAATATTCCTTTCCACTAAATTTATTTTTTATTTTTATTTTTGAGACAGGGTCTCACTCTGTCATCCAGGCTGGACTGCAGTGGTGCAATCACATCTCACTGCCACTTCACCTTCCCAGGCTCAAACAATCCTCCCACCTCAGCCTCCCAAGTAGCTGAGACCACAGGTGTGTGACAATACACCCCACTAATTGTTTTTAATTTTTGTAGAGATGGGAGTCTCATTATGTTGCCCAGGCTAGTCTTGAACTCCTGGCCTCAAGCAATTCTTCTGCCTTGGCCTCCCAAAGTGCTGATCTTTCCACTAAATTTATAAACAAGAAAACAAGATCCCATCACTTCCTAATTTATCTATTTTGGAAATCTACATTTTCATTAAACAGGTTGACAAATATAAAGTAAGATCCTTCTAATGGGCCTTAGCCACATAATTGGGGCAGGGTCATTCGCTGAAGGATGTATACGGTTACGTCAGAATAGAAGATATCCTCCTGGCTCAGGTGCCTTCATGCCAGCTCCCACCATGTGGTCACGCCATGCCAGTACCCATCTCTCAGCAAGTCGAACTCCACCCAACTCCTATTCCAGAGAAGGTGGGTCAGGGATCAGGTAAAGGAAGGGGAAGCCAGGCGAAAGCACAGCAGGGAGAACAGGCCAGGATGGCCAAGGAGAAGAAGCCAAGAACAGAACACAGCGATTTGGGACAGGGGTGACTAGGGATCAGAAAGAAGAGACTGAAAAGCAGAGAGGATTTATTGTCTTCGGAGAAATGAAGAAAGAAAATAGTCCTCAGAGAACAAGGGAGCAAAAACAAAATGAAATAGGCCGGGTGTGGTGGCTCACGCCTGTAATCCCAGCACTTTGGGAGGCTGAGGTGGGCGGATCACGAGGTCAGGAGATCGAGACCATCCTGGCTAACATGGTGAAACCCTATCTCTACTAAAAAATACAAAAAAATTTAGCCGGGTGCGGTGGCGGGTGCCTGTAGTCCCAGCTACTTGGGAGGCTGAGGCAGGAGAATGGCGTGAACCCGGAAGGTGGAGCTTGCAATGAGCCGAAATCGCGCCACTGCACTCCAGCCTGGGAGACAGCAAGACTCCGTCGCAAAAAAAAAAAAAAAAAAAAAAAAAATTAAATTGACTGAGCAACATAGAAAGATCGTTTTCCTGCTCCATCACCCCCAATTGCTCTCCACTACCCACCAGATAAAGTCCAAGCGCTCTAGTTGGGCCTCCAAAGCATGCAGGATCCCTCTCCTTAAACAAGCACTGGGTGCAGCCAAGGGGACCTCCTTGCTTTCTCACCCCCACCCAA